ACCATCTTAAAAGCAGCAACCTAGCTACTTGGATTATACTCAGTGAATTCAGATCACAACCGTACATTCAGTGTACATTTCCGTCGGCCCCTCCCCCGTTTCATGGTGGGGACTAAGATCAGACAAAGAAGTTACTGGTCCTAAATTAACCTAATCAAAATGTCATCTCTATCTGTATTATTATTTTAAATACTTCTTTAAAGTCATTCAGGTTTATTTTTAAAACATCTCTGTGTCTATGATCCTTCAACTGAAACACTGTGCTTTACACATTATCACAGATACCAGCTTTTAGCTGACTCATTGAATGAGAGAGAATCTGAGACTCTATTGGATGGTACACTGCTCTCTTATATACTTCTAACATCAAACTTTTATCTATTATCTTTTAACTCTATCCCAGCTTAAGGCATCTTTGCCAGAAATTACATACGGTTTCAAATAAACATATTATTTATATTTGTCTTTTGCCCACCTCAGGGAATTTAGACATTACAAATTTCCACTCAGATTGAGTCTCTGTCGCACTGGCAGTTTCAGGCACAGCACACATCAGATTTTAGATAAGCGAACTGTTTCATTACAGCCAATAACAAACTTATCTTTTGAAAGCAAAACATCAGCTCTGTTCTTTTCATGGTCAACACTAGCAGGCCTTTTTTGTTTAATCAAATGCCTCTCTATACATTTTACATTTCGCAACTGTTAATCCTATAACACTGCTTCTGCTTATTTGTTCTTACATAATGGTAATTATTCTAGTTCTCAATAACGTTTCACATTTCTCAATCTCAATTTTAGTTGTCAAGTTCTCAATTACCATAACTTAATATCTGACCTCAAAGTTTTCTCTTCTAGGAGTTTATCAGTCTCCAATCAGGATTCACTAACTAACTTTTACAAGGCTACTGCCTCTTTTGCAGTTATTATAAATCATCTTTGAGATCTGTCTCTCTATATTACCTGAACCCTTTTAAAAATGCTTAATTAAAACACAATTCTCCTTCTAGTTACCTTTACTATATTTTGCAACTCACATTTGTTGCAGTCATTCATTTTGCATCACCCTGTATTCAATTCACTTATAAAAATTACTATTATAGATCTTTTCTTCAAAAGGATTCACTTTAAGATCAATCTTTTGACCTTGTTTTTTATCTCTTATTTCTCAGACCAAAAATTGTCACTGTCGTCATTTAAACACTGATCTATTTTCAAACCAATATTATTACCAGAAATGTGTTGTCATTTTATCACATTTTTAAACACCTTCTCGGTGGTCATTTACAGTTACCTATTAAATTGTCCTGATGACCACCATTAAAACACTCTCTGTCATCTAGTGAATTTGTTTCAGCCTCAACTTCAGCATCAGACACCTTGCAGTTTGATCACTGTGAGCTTCCAAAGGGCTTCAACTTAACACGCCCTTGAAGCAGTGTGTGTCCCATTCAGGAATGTAAACAGACCCACTGATAAGCAGTTCTCTGTATTCTTTTGACCATCCACCAATGGCGGATTCAATCACTATAGCCAAATCATACTCTTCATCATTATTATTGGCAGAACATAATTTCATGAGCAGCACAGAAAATGCTCAAAATATTCGAATTTGTTTTCTGTCTTTACCTTACTAATTTGGTATTATCATCAACAACACTAATTACAAGTACTGTTGCTGTTATCCCAGCTTATCTTTTACAAAACATCATCTGCAAATCTCTTCAAAGTGAGATCTTCAGAGCAGAGCTGTTTACAGCATTTGCTCTCTTCTGTCTCACTATTTATTTATTTATTTATTTTCCCGGACTGTTCCGTTACTCTTCATAAAGTGTAACAATTTGTACATCATCATTTTCATTACAACTGGTTTGAAGCCTTTTTCCCTCCATCACATTATTGTCTCAGTCTTATCTCTACTGTTTCTCCAAAACAGATTATATTACTCAGTCCGTAAATTACACAGACAACCATTATAGCTACTTGCTTCAATACCCTTATTTTCTTAACATTAATAAAATAAAGCAGATATATCATCATTTCAATCATTATTTTATCAAAATCTAGAATTGTTCCCCATTCTGCTTAAAACATTCTTCATATCATGTTAATCCCTGTCAATCATACAATGCCTTATTTTATTCTAAAACTTTTCATATCATTTAAACAGTTAATTTGACTTCCATAAATTCTATCAGACCATGTCTATTTTCATCACATATAGTTTTCTACTATATTTCTCCTTTCTTTTCCCTACATGCCAGTTCCTTCATTTTCCTCTCCTTTCTTTTCTCAAACATGCCAGTTCCTTCATTATCTAACCAGTACATGATTGTTTGAACAATCCCCACACACACATATCTCACACACCAACCTTTTTGTTTTTTTTACTTCCCTCTTCCACCAAGTCTCACTTACAGTTACCTCTATTTCACACAGACAGCCTTATTGCTTCTTGCTACTTCAATCCTTGTCATATAAATTTAAGTTCTATAGACATCTAATGTCATGCATCCATTTACTGGATGAAGAAGTAAAAAACATTTTTCTCCTGGCAGTTCGACATTTTTATCTTCAAGCCAATAATCCATTATCTGTTCACATTTTTTACACACATGTTGAACGCAGCCACAACAACCTTTTGTCCCGCTGCCCTGTTCCACTGATTCTCGCACACTCTTAGTCTATTTGTGCTCAGTGTTCCCTCCCTGGGAAAATCATGGTATTTTCTCAGTTTTTCAATATCTAAAACATACATTTCCCCCCATACTTTCCTAGTTCTTTCCTAGTTCTACAGAAAACCGGTGTATCAAATTTCGCAAGCTTGCTTTTGAGACATCCCCATACTGGCTGCTTCTCTGTTCTCTGTGGATTTCTCTTCAACGCGCGTTTTCTTTAATCTGTTAGGCGTCCCCAACAAATCTGATTCTTTTCTTTTAACCCAAATCAGTCGGGTTGCACTATTAGTGCCCTCCTAATTATGGTTTACCAAAAAAATTCTGGTTCCCCCTAATTAGCCTCAGCACCCAAAAACAATTTGCTCCGTGGTGGAACAACTAATTTTCAGGGTACCTATCTGTTTGAAATCTCTTGATCTGTTACAGTTCTCACTTAATCCCAGATAATTTATCTGCTTGAAATTTCTTGTTCTGTTACAGACCTCAATTAATCTCAGATTTTTTCCTCTCGTATCTGTTTGAAATCTCTTGATCTATATATAGATCTCAATTAATCTCAGATTACGTACCACAGAAACAGTCTTCAGCCAATATGGTTCAATTTCACTCTTCTCCCCAATTAAACTGAATTTAATTAACTTACCCAAAAGAAAATAAATTGAACTGTCTCTTACCAGAGATGCTTCTGTTGCCACCTGCGGGTTCTTTAGATTCCAGTGGTCGATTCTCCCGGCCCTGATATCGGTCGGCCCCTCTCTCTCAAGTTTACGAGGTAGAGCTGGAACTTACTTAGTCCAGGTGGCCAAACACCGTCCGATCTCAGGTCCAGGAGGCACGTCCAAGGAATGTCACTTCTGACACCAAAACTGTTGTGGCAAAAATTCATCTCAAACAAACATCACTGCGTAAGAGACACTCATAGTCAAATTATATAAAATAGAAGTATTTATTCTTGCAAGAATAGGAGCAGTCTAATACACAGTTGTTACCCTGTGCAGAAGAGTGACACCCCCCCAGACAGACTGAACTAGCTTTTATCTTAGTTTCAAGGCCTTCTTCCCCCCAGAGCCTTCCTCCCAGTAGTTTTCCATAGACGTCACTAGTTGGCCCAATAAGCCCCCCTGCACCCAAAATGGCCTTCTGACATCTAGGTCAGAGGTCCTTGTTCGTCTGTTCTCTGGAGTGTCTCCCTCTTCTGCCTCCCCAGGTACATAAACAGAATCTTCTCTCACTACAAGTGAGACACACATGTGACATTCTTTGAATCATCTATATTTTACTAAAGATCAATGAATATCATTAAAATTGCCACTACAGTTTAAACAACCGTGATGTATTGTTCTCTTTTAAAATGTTTGATTTTAAAACTCTGATATCATGTTTTATGTGTATAGATAATGTGTGGATATCCCCAAAATCTCTAACAGTGCGATCTATGTGATGTTATTTAAAAAAAACACAAAAAAACACATAGGCCTATCTGTATTAAAGAAAAAATGATTCATAAACATATAGGCCTATTTAAAATGGAATTAAATAAGTACTTTGGGTGTCTTGTTCATTATATTTATTTTCATATTCAAGCAACAAAACTTAAAATACATCCAGTTTATTAGCAACACCGTGCACGAGTGTGAATCCCGTGAATCCCGCGATATCCGCCTTTGATCTCACAGGTGTCAGATCCACTGCGAGAAGAGCGATCTGTCCGGCTTGCCTGCGCTTTTTTCACTCCTCCTCTCACTGCAGCCGCCTACTCTCGACTACATTTCAGGCGAGGCAAGGCGCATCTCAAACAAGCCTAATCTCATCTCAAGGAATGATAATATCAAAACAGAAACTCTCAGTAGTGGTGTTCATTTCGACCCCGAGTCGGACAATAATGCCCACAGAGTCAGAGAATATCCAGATCCATCCTCGAGTAACAAGGGGTGCCTTTTACCCCCAATTTTTTACATATTCTTCCGTTATTGAAAAACTGTTACTTTAACAATCTTGAACAAAACTGAAAATCATTAAGAAGACATTATCCTCACCAAGCTGCATTCATTTGTTAAAAAAATACAAAACTGTGAAACATTATTACAGCTTAAAATAACTTTTCTATTTGAATATATTTTAAAATGTAATTTAACATTAATCGTCTTCAGTGTCACATGATCCTTCAAAAGTCTTTACTGTCACTTTTGATCAATTGAAAGCATCCTAGCTAAATACAATATCATTCATATTCCATGAAAAAAACTAACTCTAAACTTTTGAACACTAGTGTGTATGTGTATATTAAATGTTGTATGTAATGTGTGTGTTGCCCCCTAACAGGTCCAGTGTATACAGAGATGATCAATAACTTACTCCAGCCATTGCTGAGCGCTCCAAACTGTCGTTTGATCCGACAGAACGTGTTCCATGCGTTACCGAACACGGCCAACACGCTGATCGGACGCGCGGCTCACATCGCGGTGCTTGACTCTGAACTCTTCCTGGAGAAGTTTCTTCTGGTGGCCGGGCTCAACTACTTCAAATAGCCACGCTTCAGAGATGCCATCATCTCAGTTCTGTGGGAGAGCCAATCAGACTACATCCTCGCATCAGCCAATCACATTTCATTTCAGAGTCATAATGAGCTCTGGAATTTTTTGTCTATGGATGCAAAGAGAACAGAAATTGAAGATTCAGAACATGAATCTGAATACATGTATGTAAAATTTGTACAGAAAGAACACTATACTAAGCAAATAGCGGAAGGCCTACACGCCTTAATGAAGCTTCGACGTAGTAACTTAAAGGGTTAGTTCACCCAAAAATGAAAATTCTGTCAGTAATTACTCACCCTCATGTTGTTCCAACCCCGTAAGACTTTCGTTCATCTTCGGAACACAAATTAATATATTTTTTATTAAATCTGAGAGCTTGATCACTCCTCCATAGGCTTCTTAAGGGATCGAAACTGGCCGACCCAAAAGTTATGAAAGACATCGTTAAAATAGTCCGAGTGACTACAGTGGCCCAATCTTAAGTTTATCAAGCGACGAGTATATTTTTTGTTTGCAAAAAAACAAACAAAAATAACGACTTTATTCAACTAATCATTTCCTTCTCTGTGCGGCCGTGATATTTCACGTAGTGAAACTGCGCAAAGCTTCTGGGTTGTACGTCACACGTAGGCTCACTATTGGCCGACGCTGGTCATGTGTGTGATGCGTGACGTACAACCTAGAAGCTTTGCGCAGTTTCACTACGTGAAATATCACGGCCGTACAGAGAAGAAAATGAATAGTTGAATAAAGTCATTATTTTTGTTTGTTTTTTTGCGCACAAAAAGTATTCTCGTCACTTGATAAACTTAAGGTTGAGCCACTGTAGTCACTCGGACTATTTTAACGATGTCTTTCATAACTTTTGGGCCGGCCAGTTTCGATCCCTTAAGAAGCCTATGGAGGAGTGATCCAGCTCTCAGATTTAATCAAAAATATCTTAATTTGTGTTCCGAAGATGAACGAAAGTCTTACGGGGTTGGAACGACATGAGGGAGAGTAATTACTGACAGAGTTTTCATTTTTGGGTGAACTAACCCTTTAACATTGAATAATCACTGGAGTTAATCATTTGAATGTAAATTCAGTGTGTAGCTGGTTTTGTAACAACAGCATTGGTTCTTCATTCCCTCCAGACACCGAACGTAAATCTGCTGCGCCGTTTGTAACTTGAAGAGGTAGATATCACTGGACTTTAATACTTGAAGAGTCAATTCAGTCATTCACTTGGCGTTTAAGTCTCGCGTTATGAGAACGCTTCAGTGTTTTCATGTTCTCATTCTTTTATAGTTTGTGTTTCGACTGTCATGTTGTGAAGTGAGAATCTCACTGTGAAATAAGCCAAATCCATTCTTTTATGTATCGTGATGGAACACATTCCCCTGTAACAGTATTCATTTGGCGAAAAGAGCTCATGATCTGAATGTGTTTACCATTCCAGCCTTAACTATCACAAAGTGAGTATTTCTCAACTTTTTCTGTCATGTCAGTGTTTTGTTGATTCATTTCAAATGGTTAGTTCACTTCTGTCATCATTTACACACCATTCATGTCATTCCAAATCAAGAGTTCTTCTTTCTTCCATGGAACAACAAAGGAGTGTTGGGGTGTCAAACTCCAGAAATGACAACATAGCCCTATAAAAACATGAAGAAGAAAAAACCCAGTCATTATAAAGCTGATTTTAAAATGATACATTCTTGTAAGACATTTTTAAATAACTTTGCTGCAGTTTAACTGTTTGAACGAGCATTCATAACTATTTTCTTTATACTTCATGGATGACTACATATTCAGGATTGGATGGGCTAAAATGCATATGAAAGAGGTTTTGCCATCACACTCAACAGAAAATGTATTTCCTTATGTCATGCTTTTGTGACATACTCTTCCGAACATTAACGGAATACTTTCATGCTTTACTTATAGATTTTGCAAGGCAGGACAGCGCGAAACTTGCATACTTGAATTGTAATTGGTTTTCTTTCTTGCATACTAAAATGTGTGGTCGTTTATTTTCCTTTTTTTTTACATCCATCCTATCATCTTTAGCCTCCTTTACCCTACACTTACCACAGAAATAACGTCTCTAAGAAAAGGCTTTGATTGTATGGAAAGGTTTAAAGCTACCGTTCAGAAGTTTAGGGTTGGTAAGAAGTCTGTAATTTATTCCTGTGATCAAAGCTGAATTTTCAGCATCATTACTCCAGTCTTCAGAGTCACATGATCCTTCAGAAATCAGTCTAATATGCTGATTTGCTGCTCAAGAAACATTTCATATTATTAGCAATGTTCCAAACAGTTGTGCTGCTTAATATTTTTGCAGAAACCGTAATACATTTTCCCCCAGGATTCTTTGATGAATATAAAGTTCAAAAGAACAGTATATATTCATAATAGAAATCTTTAGTAACATCATAAATGTCTTTACAGCCACTTTTGATCAATTCAATGCATCTATGCTGAATTAATAAAAAGTATTTATTTCTTTAAAAAAAAAAACTATTCTTCTGAACGGTAGTGCACCTAAAGCTTCCACACCTTTCTTTTCAGCACCGATATTTTTTTACATTAACCTTTATTGTTTCCCTTAAGATTTGCTGATTGAAAAATCAAGAGAAAGTGTCTTAGTGTTTATGCTAGTTGCGGCCCTGTTGTGTTTGTTTTATGTATTGTATAGTGTGTGAAAACATGTTCTGTTAGCAGTTTTGAGTGTCTGGTAGTCGTGAGATGGGTGAAGCGGTTTCAATTGCCATGTCGTTGTGTTAAGCATCAGAGTGTTTTGGGTTCTTGGTCTGTTTCACCACTGTACTCCCCCAGAGCAGCGTATCTTATTTATTTGATTGTATCTGACTGGAATGACCTCGGTTTGATCTCTTGGAGGGATCGTAACGATGCACGTTCTTAGTTTTCCCCATAAAGGCTGTTCTTCATCTGTCTGCTCCTCAAGGGTAACACTTACACACATCTCTCTGCAGCCACACCTCAGTTTTTCACCTCGTTCAGCATCTTTAGCTCTCGTTTTCCATGAGTTCTGGGTCTCATTCAGCCGCTGTCAGCACCGTGCGATTGGGTTTAGATCAGCGCCGCAGTGTCAGCAGACTTACAAGATGCCCTTTCTGTCTCCGCTGAGCTTTTATGTACACGTTGTCTGACTGACGCTTGATTAGTCGGTAAATACACTTTCATGGTGATTGACACTAATTTAACTCCGCCTCTTAGTACACGGGTGTGTCACGTGACTCGACTGCTTCTGTTACCGCTGAAGGAGCCGTCAGGCATAACGCCCCATTACCCATCATGCTCTGCTGCACTGGGGTCTTAGTGTGCTTGTTTGTTTGTTTGCCATGCTAATGTGGGCTGATGGAAGAGTTTGCTCACACAAGTCAAGCATATTAATTACGGAAATAGAGCTAATCTGGAGTGTGAACACTGACCAAGGGCAAAAGCATGTGTGTGTTAAATACGTGCTGTAAAAACGTATTCCCCTTGAAAATCCCCTTGAAGCAGTTGAACCCTTTAATAACCTATAATTATTATAACACGTTCAATTAAGTGTTATCGACAAGAAAGTACAAAAGAAAGTGTTGACATTTCTTATTGAAGCAGGAAATTGGTGTGATACACTATCTATACACTCACCTAAAGGAACACCATACTAATACTGTGTTTGACCCCCTTTCGCCTTCAGAACTGCCTTAATTCTACGTGGCATTGATTCAACAAGGTGCTGAAAGCATTCTTTAGAAATGTTGGCCCATATTGATAGGATAGCATCTTGCAGTTAATGGAGATTTGTGGGATGCACATCCAGGGCACGAAGCTCCCGTTCCACCACATCCCAAAGATGCTCTATTGGGTTGAGATCTGGTGACTGTGGGGGCCATTTTAGTACAGTGAACTCATTGTCATGTTCAAGAAACCAATTTGAAATGATTCGAGCTTTGCGACATGGTGTATTATCCTGCTGGAAGTAGCCATCAGAGGATGGGTACGTGGTGGCCATAAAGGGATGGACATGGTCAGAAACAATGCTCAGGTAGGCCGTGGCATTTGAACGATGCCCAATTGGCACTAAGGGGCCTAAAGTGTGCCAAGAAAACATCCCCCACACCATTACACCACCACCACCAGCCTGCACAGTGGTAACAAGGCATGATGGATCCATGTTCTCATTCTGTTTACGCCAAATTCTGACTCTACCATCTGAATGTCTCAACAGAAATCGAGATTCATCAGATCAGGCAACATTTTTCCAGTCTTCAACTGTCCAATTTTGGTGGGCTCTTGCAAATTGTAGCCTCTTTTTCCTATTTGTAGTGGAGATAAGTGGTACCCGGTGGGGTCTTCTGCTGTTGTAGCCCATCCGCCTCAAGGTTGTGCGTGTTGTGGCTTCACAAATGCTTTGCTGCATACCTCGGTTGTAACGAGTGGTTATTTCAGCCAAAGTTGCTCTTCTATCAGCTTGAATCAGTCGGCCCATTCTCCTCTGACCTCTAGCATCAACAAGGCATTTTCGCCCACAGGACTGCCGCATACTGGATGTTTTTCCCTTTTCACACCATTCTTTGTAAACCCTAGAAATGGTTGTGCGTGAAAATCCCAGTAACTGAGCAGATTGTGAAATACTCAGACCGGCCCGTCTTGCACCAACAACCATGCCACGCTCAAAATATCTTAAATCACCTTTCTTTCCCACTCTGACATTCAGTTTGGAGTTCAGGAGATTGTCTTGACCAGGACAACACCCCTAAATGCATTGAAGCAACTGCCATGTGATTGGTTGATTAGATAATTGCATTAATGAGAAAATGAACAGGTGTTCCTAATAATCCTTTAGGTGAGTGTATATATATATATATATATATATATATATATATATATATATATATCATAAAATATTCCTACTGTACACTCACCGGCCACTTTATTAGGTACCCCATGCTAGTAACGGGTTGGACCCCCTTTTGCCTTCAGAACTGCCTCAATTCTTCGTGGCATAGATTCAACAAGGTGCTGGAAGCATTCCTCAGGGAGTTTGGTCCATATTGACATGATGGCATCACACAGTTGCCGCAGATTTGTCGGCTGCACATCCATGATGCGAATCTCCCGTTCCACCACATCCCAAAGATGCTCTATTGGGTTGAGATCTGGTGACTGTGGAGGCCATTTTAGTACAGTGAACTCATTGTCATGTTCAAGAAACCAATTTGAAATGATTAGAGCTTTGTGACATGGTGGAAGTAGCCATCAGAGGATGGGTACATGGTGGCCATAAAGGGATGGACATGGTCAGAAACAATGCTCAGGTAGGCCGTGGCATTTAAACGATGCCCAATTGGCACTAAGGGGCCTAAAGTGTGCCAGGAAAACATCCCCCACACCATTACACCACCACCACCAGCCTGCACAGTGGTAACAAGGCATGATGGTTCCATGTTCTCATTCTGTTTACGCCAAATTCTGACTCTAACATCTGAATGTCTCAACAGAAATCGAGACTCATCAGACCAGGCAACATTTTTCCAGTCTTCAACTGTTCAATTTTGGTGAGCTCTTGCAAATTGTAGCCTCTTTTTCCTATTTGTAGTGGAGATGAGTGGTACCCGGTGGAGTCTTCTGCTGTTGTAGCCCATCCGCCTCAAGGTTGTGCGTGTTGTGGCTTCACAAATGCTTTGCTGCATACCTCGGTTGTAACGAGTGGTTATTTCAGTCACTGTTGCCCTTCTATCAGCTCGAACCAGTCTGGCCATTCTCCTCTGACCTCTGGCATCAACAAGGCATTTCCGCCCACAGAACTGCCGCTCACTGGATGTTTTTTCTTTTTCGGACCATTCTCTGTAAACCCTAGAGATGGTTGTGCGTGAAAATCCCAGTAGATTAGCAGTTTCTGAAATACTCAGACCAGCCCTTCTGGCACCAACAATCATGCCACGTTCAAAGTCACTCAAATCAACTTTCTTCCCCATACTGATGCTCGGTTTGAACTGCAGGAGATTGTCTTGACCATGTCTACATGCCTAAATGCACTGAGTTGCCGCCATGTGATTGGCTGCTTAGAAATTAAGTGTTAACGAGCAGTTGGACAGGTGTACCTAATAAAGTGGCCGGTGAGTGTATATATATATATATTACAAGTATGTGTATCTAATTAATATATAAACTTATGACAAAATATGTACAATAATATATTTGTGCTTAATATATTTGATCAGAAGACACTTATGAATATCTATCTATCCATGGATGAAGATGCTTTTTGGGTCTAGATGCTGTAGTTACGACATTTCACGATCTAATCAATTCCCATTAGATGAAGTCCTGCCTTTTTCTCGTTGAACATCCTGCTGAAATATGTCACACAAGGGAAGTTAAATGGGATACAAACAATATTCCATGACTTGAATCATCTTTCCTTTTACAAAGTTGCACCTTCCTCTGTCTTTAATTCAAACATCATGGTGATGGATCTCTATGACACAAAAAAGTCAAATATTTAGGAGTGTGTGTGTGTGTGTGTGTGTTTTTATAAAGAGGCAGCTCGTCTGGGTAAATGTTGGGTAAGCGCTTCTTCATTCAGAGCTATTTATTTCCAGCATACGTTTGTGTTTTCATCCAGATCTGTGTATTAAGCCATGAATGTGAAAACAGATGAAAATGTATTCACTGTGAGACTGTAATGTGTTTATT